GAAATCCGCTGTGCCACACGATTTAGATTAGCTAGAAAGCAGAAAATCCGAGGATTTAGCTACTGTATTTTTCGGAGTATAAGACATTACAAACCTTTTTTCCTCAAAAAAGAGGGTGAAAATCTGGGTGCGTCTTATACACTGAATACAGCATTTTTGGCCTACCGAAACCCCACCCCCTTTGCAAAAATGGATGTGCAGAGGGTGGGGGAAACCTGTAGAGTGCTTCTGGGGGTTGGGGGGGGGGAAATAGCAAAAATGCCCTGTTTTCTGCTCGCTTTTGCCCTCCCCAGCCCCCAGGAGCACTTTGCAGGCCTCCCAAAACCTCTGCATATCTCGTTTTTTGCACACACACAAAAAGGGGGGGGACATGCAGAGTTGTGGGAAACCTGTAGAGTGCTTCTGGGGGTTGGGGGGGGGGAAATAGCAAAAATGCCCTGTTTTCTGCTCGCTTTTGCCCTCCCCAGCCCCCAGGAGCACTTTGGAGGCCTCCCAAACCCTCTGCACATCCATTTTTGCAAAGGGGGCGGGGTTTCGGTAGGCCAAAAATGCTGTATTCAGTGTATAAGATGCACCCAGATTTTCACCCTCTTTTTTGGGGAGAAAAGGTTATACTTATACTCCAAAAAATATGGTAAATGTATGTAATCCTATTTTGAATTAAAGAATATTAACACAAAATTAGGGGTATGATGCAATCAAAGCAGTCTTCTTTCAGGAAGCTAGTCCAGAAAGAAAACTAGCAATTTTGTACCAGTAACTATCACTGATCATAAATGGACATAATTTATGGATGTGATGTTAGAGAAATGATCCTCCTTGCTTTATTCATAGGTGAATCTTGCCCTCCTTATCCTCTCATTTGCGGGCTTCCTCCTCCCCTGCTACCTCTTCTACTACCGCTACAAACTTATCCGGAAGCAAATGGCCAAAGATGGTGCTCCTATGAAATTCCAGGACAATGCAGCTGCCAATGGCTTGCTGAACAACGAAGCCACCACTTTATAAATCAAGCATGGGGAAAGTGGGGAGTTGTGGATGATGGAGAACCAAATGCAGAATTGGTGAGCCTAACAGATGGAGCAAGGCGCCGTGATCAAAGGGATGAGACAATACTGTGAGAACATTACATTTGGGAACTATGAAAATAACTGAGGTGCTTTTAATTCTCAACAAATGCCTATCTATATTTATATCTATATTTTTATATATAGAAACAAAACTCTATTTTTTTGCAGGGTATTTTAAAAAGCTCAGTGATTTTTAAATAAGCAATTAGAACATCAGTCACTAAGCATTGCAGACCAAGAAGCATTTATGAAAAGATCTTGGATGAAGAATTGGCAGGATGGAATACTGTAGGTATCCCTCACCAGTCATAGTTTTCCAGGGTTGTTTGGCCCTGGGAAGGAAATGGACTCTTACCATTTCCCTCCTCCCTGCCTGATAATTATGACAGAGAAAATCAGGGAATGTCTGCCCACTCCTAGAAGTCAATTCAAAGGGATTATTGTTTGCCAACAGTCCCAGGGAGTCCCTTGTGAGACTATTCCCCTGGGTTTGGGCAACTAATGTTCGGGTGTCAAAAAATTCGATGCTTGGTAATGAATACCACAGGTTGTGCCTTAGCCCCCAATCTTGTTTTGAGCTTTATAAGACAAGCCACCTCCCCATGAATTGTCCCCCAGAGATGAATTTAATGGCCTTTTGAGTGCTGTGAATTTTTCCAGATATTGTTCTTTGATCTGTCTTGATTGCAAGTGTGACAAGGTTTGTATACGACAGAAATGTAGGAAGGCATTGATTTAACAAGACTTGTGTCAGAAGAATAGAAGTGCCAATTTTTCATGACTGACTTTCTGCCTGGGCCCTTCCAAAATAAATTTTAAAATCCTAGCAACTGGATTTGCTCTGGTAGATCCCAGCCAAACTTTTTATTTATTTATATGGAAATTGTGTTGCTGCCTTTCTATTAAGAGCAGGCTGTGTTTTTTCTTAAACAAAATAAAGCCATACAGTAATTCAACAATAAAATTAAATAAATTTCTGTGCAACATTAAAACCAACAAATATATTAAAAACTAAAGAAGCCAACTGGCAACTGAGTGATAAAATGTAGGTCAATTAAAAATAGAAATGGTGGAAACATGGTTAAAATTTTTTTATGAGGTACATAAAGAAGCATTTCACTGGACTGGGCCAACTGGGTGTAAATTCTATATATAGGGATCCTTCACTTATCACCATAATTGAGCCCAACATTTATGTTGCTAAGTTAGACATTTGTTAAGTACATTTTGCCCCATTTTACGACCTTTCTTGCCACAGTTGTTAAGTGAATCACTGGAGTTGTTAAATTAATAGCACAGTTGTTACTGTAAGTGAATGTGGCTTCCCCATTGACTTTGCTTATCAGAAAGTCACAAAAGGTGATCACATGACCCTGGGACACTGCAACCGTCATAAATGTGAATCTGTTGCCAAGCATCTGACTGTGTGCTGTAACATTGATACAATGTGAAAAATGGTCCCAAGTCACTTTTTTGAGGGGGTTGTTCTCACTTTGAACAGTCACTAAGTGAAGTGTTGGAAGTAGAGGATTACCTGTACTATAGAACCAACCCTGAAAATGTTTTAGGCCTACTCAGAAATACCTGCAAGTGTCCATTCTTTTCTCCATTTGGAAAAAATTGATGAGAAGGCACTAATGGCTGTGGGTGATAAATATTCAATTCCAAAACAACAGAGGGGACAGGATCCGTTCACCCCACTTTTACAACTCTGGCAACTTCAACCTTAAAAGGTCAAAGTCATCAACCTTCAGCTAATATGGTAGCCAGGGCAAATCATATTTGGCCTGTTCCTGCTCAATATGTGCCACATTCTGAATCACTGGGATTTTTTTGAAATGGTTTCAAGGACTTCTCTCTGTATATAGCATACTGCAGAAGCTAAGTGTGAAAATTGCTAGATGAGCAGCATTTGGAAACACTACAGCACTGTCACTGAATGGATGGCATCGTGGGACTTGCCTACTTGTGAATGGCTACCCTGGTGGGCCTTTTAGTTACGAAACATTCATTTACTAGGAGACGCACTGGTGAGATGATCTTGTAATACTTCTCACCCAGCATTCCAGCATTG